AGGACCACTCGAACCAGAATTTCTTGTTGCAATGCCAGTCTGGTCTCATGGGCTTCGGTTGCGCGAGACACACCGCTGGAGCAAATGCGTGATTGGACTGCCTCTAGAAGTTAGCCATGCGTGTGCCAGACCGTGTCGTGCATGCAATCAGGGAGCCGCCGATTAAGTATTCGCTACTTGTTACGCAAAAAAAACCGGTACCTCGCTGCATTGTTGGGTAGTTACACGTTGTAATGGCAGCAGGTTAATTGATTGCGTCGTGCAATACCATCCTTGCACACAATTCGCACAGTGACCGGTGGCATCAGGCCAATTTTGTATTTTCAACCATCATGAAGACATGACGCCCTTTCAGCCTGCGCAATGCATGTGACAAAGGGCATACCAACATGACATCTTGTGTTTTAAACACCTGTATGAATGTGGAGTGGTGATGCAGCGTTGTTTTTGCCCATGCCCAAACTTCCCTATATAGATGTGTTTCAGCAGCAATGAACGCATGACGCCTCTACCTGTTAGCACGCATGTGGCAAATGACAACTTCCATGCGCTGAATTTTGTGTGTGTGCGTGCTCCATGCTGCTCATGATATCTGCAGCAAAAGGCAGGAACCACAAAAATGCAATGATTCCTGCTCATAAAATGCCGGCATGGAAGCAAAGTGAGCTGCAGACATGCGCTTGTCGCTGCGTGTGAGATGCAGAAATTTCAAGCAATTTGGCGATCAAATCGCAATGATTCACGGTCCTTATTGTTGAAAATCACGCATGTTATTTGCCGGCTTTCTTGTTCAAAACGCTTTTGCCGTGGGACAAAATCGTTCTGCTCTTTTTCCAGGACCAAATACCTGCATAGGCATTTTTTTCTGGGTGCGGATCCCTGAAAAACACTGTCGCATTAAACACAGTCCCTGTGCGTAAAATGGCGTTATGAAAGCAACATGAAGTGCAACCACGCAGTGGTCGCTGCGTGTGAGACACATAAATTTCAAGCAATTTGGCGATCAAATTGCAGTGGTTCATGGTCCTTATTTTTGAAAATCACGCATGTTGTTTGCAGGCCTTCTGGTTCAAAGCGCTTTTGCCGTGGGACAAAATCGTTCTGCTCTTTTTCCAGGACCAAATACCTGCATAGGCATTTTTTTCTGGGTGTGGATCCTTGAAAAACACTGTTGCATTTAACACAGCCCCTGTGCGTGAAATGGCGTTATGAAAGCAACATGAAGCGCAGGCACGCAGTGGTCGCTGCGTGTGAGATGCAGAAATGTCAAGCAGTGTGGCAATCAAATCATAATGATTTGCGGTCTATGTTTTTAAAATCGCATATGTTGTTTGCCCCTTTTCTTGTTAAAAAAAGAAGTTTCATGGGCCAGTTCCTGGTTCCGGCCTGGTCCTGTATGCCAAATTATGTAAAACATCTTGCCAATCCAAGTATTACCGAAGGCTCAAATGATGTACCCGGATTTTCGGGGATTTTCCCCGGTCAAATCCCTGAAAAAAACCTGGCTTCAACATATAGTGCAGATTGCACGTTACGACTTGATGAGCGCGTGCACGACGCACAACGGTCGATAGCGATAGCTTTTGGAGCATGAACATTTCTGCAACGGCGTAACCATGAACGAACGATGGGTCACTGCCTCACAGTGTGCTGGGGTTGACAAGTACACACACGTGTACGGGCACGGCCCTTTGCCTGAGTATCTTGCACACAGGCAGCTCTAGTGTGGCTGTGGCCTCATGCTTTAGCGTCAGATCTATGCAGCGAATGTTTGCCAACTTGACTCCACGTAAAAGGAAACACGAAGCCACTACGACGGCTTAGTGAGCGAACCGCAATCGCTTGCTCTTGGGTATCTGCAGGACACTTAATGCCTGCTCAAGCTGGGACTGAAACTGGGGGGCCATCAAATCCACTTTCAGCCGCAAGAGCCTTGTTGCACCGGGCTCCTGGAGGCCTGTCACCTTCTCCTCAGTTCTTGCGATGAGGAGCCCACACGTCAGCATTTCACCCAGGTTTACTGCGCAATGTCACTTTCGCCAACATGACCACCAGCTCCCCTAATGGAGCGGCGTCCGCTGCCCAGACCCACAATTTTACCCATCACGGCATCAGCGGCGCCCAGCCAGACCCTTCAGAGGGACCCGAGCCCGCGGCAACCGCCACACAGGCCAGCCAACTTTGACACCACAGCATCAAGCTTCTGCCACTTTGCCTGGGATTGCTGCCCAATCCAAAAAAGCCATGAAGGCGGCGTCCCCGGCCAGGAGATCCATGATAGCGATGCCTTGACGGCGAATGCGACCTGCCGTCCAGCCTCTCGCGGCCTCTAACCTCTAACCGCTCAATGACCGTAGTCGTGCCCATGTTCTCTGCCAAGAGCACCCCATGAAGTGCCTCCGGCCAGTCGCATCACCGGGGCTTCAAAACGATCCTCCCGACTTCAGATATCACCCCGATTTGGTGCCGGATGGCCCTCAAAAACGACCTCTCAGGAAACGAGGTGTCTTAGCCCTGTGACAATCGAGTTTGAAAGAGCACGAGCATGCGCTGTCTACCTTTCTAGCCTGATTCGACCGGCTTGGCAATGCTGGAAGCTGTCACTCACTCACTCACTCACTCACTCACTCACTCACCACTTGGATGCTGCATGTCCGGTTCGCAAAGGATTAAAAGCATCAGTGGACTTCCGATGGGCTTTCCCTGAGCACGAAACCTCTCACACGGCCACTTACGGGCCCCTCAAGAGATGACTAAGTGGCATGTCACGGCTACACTTCGTCCCATCGGAAAACTACCTTTGACTACATCTACACGCCGCGTGAACTTTCATCTCGAACACTAGCGGCTGCTGGAAGCTGTCAGCTATTAAACAGAATGAGCGCCCCGCCTGCATGCGAGCCGCGAGCACAGCGCTGTAGCTCAGAACATCGGGAGCCTCGAACGTTCCCCGAAGCATCACAAAAATCATATGATCCGTTGCATGCATGCCAGGTACCAGCTTCAGTCGCGGCATGTTGTTGAGCACTACCAGCGCCTGCTTTCAACACGGGAAACTGTCAAGAATTCTTACCTGACCAGATGGCCCCACTGCAGGCCCGTTCGTTCTGAAGCCAAGTTTTCTCTAGGCCTCCTCCCATCTTGGTGATGCAGCCAGAGCTGACATCATGTTGTTGATGCTGTAGAGGTCTGGCAGATCAAGATTGTATTGTCAACTCGAATTGCCTTCTCTGCTGCACCTGGGTCGATTTGTTTCCTCATCATCTCAGTCAGTAGCTCACCTTTGCCAATACATGGACTATAGACTTCCTTTCCACAGTGATCCAGTTCAGACAAGCCGCATGTTGCCTGCCAACCTTGCACAAGAGCGTGGAGAGCACATTGCAACCCTTAGAATGCCTTCACAACACATGTCCTGCACGCACAGATGCTCAGCCAGACGTGCTGTGTCAAGAACTGCTGCGTCTGCCTGGATTGGTGCTCTTCGTGCGAACTCGCAGCCGCAGCAACCTTTTACCTGCGAACAAACCTTGTAAAGGAATAAGAACTGCTCATGAACCTCCTTGGTCAACGCATGCAATTAAGGACGGCAAACCCAACCGTGCTCAGCTTCAAACTCTTGCTCCTCTTGCTAGCTGCTGCTGAGTCACATGTCGCTCGAGTGCAGGCGGTCATTACGGCGGTGAAGCTCCAACAGTCTGGCTGAAGCTGAAAAGCAGGCATTTTTCCTGTGCATCTGGCCAAAGCACGCTTGCTGAAGCTACTGCATGAATCCCTTCCCAGGCTTCCAACACCCTGTCCTAGCAAGTTGCGTGCAGCCGCATGGTGGCTGCCTCCAGCCAGGGCGTGAAGGGCCGCATTCATGGTCACAACCTGAACGTTTGCAGGTTTGTGATGGTGGCTCTCAGCCACAGTTGTCATGAGTTCCTGGCTGTTGGTGTCAAAGCTCTCTGCGGCAAGCTTTGAAGCACCTTCAATGAGAAGCCGCAGCTGACTTGCACATGCTGCTGCACAGCAATCCAGTCAAACCCTACCGAACGACAAGCATGTCCAGAGCCTGCAGTGCAAGGGGCCACTGGGAGCCCTCTGCAAAAGCAGAGATGAGGGCATTGCATGTGACAACCGTCGGCCTGTCGCTCTGCCAAGATACGAATGGAAATGCACTTCAGCACCAGCAAATGGTTAACTGGAATTATGAACGAGGATTGATGCCATCGAAGGCCGAGCAGAACACAGCTACATTGCTGCTGTCTTCCAGGGACTATCTTGCAACTGTCTTCTGGCCTCTCACGTTCCGTCAGGGCTTCGAATGCCTCCAGTCCCGTCGAAAGCGATCTCTACAAGAGTCCAGCAAAGTTCAAGGTAAATGGGCAGTCCTAAGCAAGCAAAACATAGCACTACTTGCGCTGCAAACTTCCCACTTGTGTTTGGCAGCGCAAGGACAAGAGCAACGCTCGCCTGCAAAGCACGTCTCCACTCTGTAGCGCGGCCAAAAGCGGTGATCAAAGCATTTGAGCACATGGCCTGCCACAAAGGATTCAAAAGGAAGAGGAAGAAGAAAGAAGAAAGGAGGAAGGAGGGAGGGCCTCTGAGGCTTTTGCTTCTCTCTCGGCTTCCGAGTGGATGGCCAACGCCTCTTGCCACCTCACGAAAAGCACTTCTCCCTTCCTGTCAACATGATGGGTTTTCATCAGTAGAATGTCATTACGCCCTTTGTCGACATCCCCACTTCTTTGTCATGCGCAAGCACCAGAGTAATGAAAACGTCTGTCACACGATTATTCAAATACAGAGACCCTCGCGATGCAAGAGTATCACTTCACACATTGACCAGACTGATCTTATCGCCATTGCCTGCTGCAGCAAGAGCAAGCAGAGATCAGAGCCACGTACGTCGCCTCGGCATCAAGGCCTACTTCAGAATCATCTTTCTACTGGAAGAAAAATTAGAAGCTGCATTTGCGCGTGTATTCGTCAAGCGGAGGCCCTTGAAATCCTGTAAAGGCCACGTTGCTGCATCCAGCTGCAAGTCCGCAGCTTGGAGGCTGCAAGCCATCGCCAATGCCTGCAGGGGCCCTACTCCGTGGTCCACTGTCATTGCACTTTTTGGGTGGCTGTCGCGTGGGGAAGCGAGCGCAGGAAGGGGGTGATGATCGGCGCAGATTAGTTCGTGCGTTAGCAGCTGGGTTCACATTGCTCGTCTGGTGCAGAAGAGCGGGATTTAAAGCGATTTCCAGCCAAAGCTACACAAAACTCCAAACTTATGCTATGATCATGATCATAATGGTAATCTTGCCTGACCTTGGGGGACGTGATGGTCACAAGGCCGTTTTCCCACAAGACAGGCCCAATCTTTGGAATCTGTACTGTAGGGACGCCCATGTCCTGGAAACGTCAGATTTGATGATTTGTCAGAGCCCTGGACTAGACATCCTGAACCCTAAACCTGCTTCACTGCAGCTGCCAAGATGAAGATGCACCTCTTGCCAATGCCCTTGTTCCTCATTGTTCCAAGCAACGAAGCCTGAGGCGTCCACCAAATTCAGACGGGGAAAAATCACAACAAGCCAGCGGTGGTCAACGGTAGTGTGCAACAAGCGCTTCCGTTACTGTCGAGATGCAGGAGCTGATGGCAGCATGGCCAGCTTCATTGTTGATAGGCAAGTGCTGGCCTGCGAAGGACCAGACAAAGTCGCGCTCAACCAAAAAGTGCGGTATGAAGCACATGGCAAAGTGTCCTTGCATCTCTTCCAGCAAGCCCACTGCGAGAACCCACTGACGCCCCGCAGCACAAGCTGCCAAGGCTGAGCCTGGAATCCATGAAATCTCTGAAACAAAATCTTTTGCACCGCTTAAGACCACTGGTTGTCTACCATGAGCATGACTACTTTTTCCTTGGTGTCATGCACTACCAATGTCACTCAGCACGGCCGGACTGCATGCAAAGCAATTTGCATTGACTTCCCGACGGCCGGCAAGATACTGCTGCGAACAAGTGCAGTCACGATGCCACAAAGCTGCGTTGTAGCCTCAATGCCCTGCAGCAGTACACCGTCCCAGGATCCACACTACTCAGTAACTGCGCAGTAGAGCACGCAGCACAGATTCGGGAAAAACAAGAACATCATCATCATCATCATCATCATCATCATCATCTCAACCCGCCTCCCTCTTGGAGTACTCGAACCTCAGGCAAAGCTTGTCTCTGTGAGTGACATGACTGGCGCTCAGGAACTGTTACGGGAAGGCCATGCTGGTTTGAAAAGACCTGCACTGCCCAGCTATGAAACCCCGAGCGCACGGCAGTGCCAGCGCCTGAGGGTATGAGACTTTAAGTTTTTGCGTGTTTGCATCAGCCTAGGCGGCCTGTTCCCAGTGCTGCCATGCAGTGGCGATGAGAGCCGCATAGGTTCGAGCTGTACGTGGAACGCTGCGTGTCTCGGCACAGGGCTGCTCGCCGTGCTCGCGTATGGGTGTTACGTGGCTCAGCTCAGTTTCAGGCAAACATCTCATTCAACAAGCCGAGTGCTACGCCATGCTCCTGCCAGGCTGCAGAGCATGCAGAGCACATCGTGTGAACATGTAGGGACCCCAACTGGCGGCACCAGTGCCTTGCGCGCTGCGCAGATGGCCGCAGTGAAGCTGACTGAATCAGGATGTAGATGGCGCTCACCCATCCGACCTTCTTTTCACAATCCCAGAGCCCAACCACACTTTTCCGCACTCCAGATAACTGCTCACCAGCTGCAAGCAAGGGGCGCATCACCAAATGCAGTGCCTTCTCCCAATGACGATCTTTGTCACAGGCGGCAATCGCTGAGTTGTAACTGTAGAGGTCTGGCCTTTGTGGGTCCAATCTTCCGAGCAAAGTGGTACCCAGGTATGCATCAAAGACAGGTTGCTCCGGAGTCATCTCTTCCTCCAGCAACCAGAAAGCCTGTTGTGCGAGGCAATGAGCAAGCCTCTTGAGAGCCTTGCTCTTTCTGAGTACGTGCAGGCATGAGTGCCGACATTTCCGAAGCGGCTGGAGGCTTTTTGTAGGAGACATTCAGGGATTGGAGACTTTGCTTAGACGATGAGACAGCCAGAGGACTCAAAGGATTTTTGTGATGAGCAGCGCGTTCATCGAACCTCCGTGCCTTGTTGCGTGGTGTTTGTGCGCTCTGCGTGAATGCGCAGATGTACAGGGCAAATAGTGGCATGGACTGCAAAGGAAGCTTTCCCAGTCCTAGCAATTGAAAGGAGTGATACTTCAGATTTAAAACTTTCAATGCCTGGCAACTTCAAAGGTGCAACAAACGGATTTCAGATCCCAGATTTGTCGAGCGTTGCCTGAAACAGGCTGCTTGCCTCTCTTGGCCCTATCCCTCCTTGACTGCATCCTGTCTCTGTCTGCATAGGGAGTGGAAAGCGCCTCTTGCCATCTGCCGGCGCTTGCGCATGCTGCAATGGCAGCGTTCCAAGCTTGGACGTCCGATACTTGCCTGGTAGGTGCAATCAGTTGCGGGGGAAGCTCCAAAGTTCCGAGGCTCCAGCTTCTCGGAGACATCCTCAAGAAGCTGCAGGGCCTAACAAGTTCACAAGAAAACTGCAGCGGACCCCAGCGGCTGTGCAGCTCTTACCCCTTCTGCCTCCTCCCAGCATCCGCCAGCACTACCTGTGGATACCAAGCAGCTGCTTGTGGGAAATACCATGTGCAGGCCCTCATGTCTGTGCATGCAGCGGTCCATGCATGTCTTTACAGCTTTCGTCTTGTCACAGGTCGGGGTTCTGCGAAAGTGCATTGCTCACTTTTCTGTGTGGAAGAACCACTCGTCTCGAAACAGTGTCTTTTTTAGGCTCATGCGAAGGCACTCAAGAAAGGTGCTATGAGGAGCATGCAACGCGTTGCTGTAACGATCCACATGAGCCACCGCCAGACTTGAGACCTGCAATTTTCTTTGGTTGACTTATTCCGTTGGCTGGCACCATCATGCGGCATCCAGGCTCAAGGGCTGCGAGTTGGGGTATGTGGCTTCACGGACAAGGCTGACGGTACAGGGATGCTGGCTGAGGCTTAGGGTGTTCAACGTGTTGCGAATGCTAAGCCGGCCGAAGCTACGAGATCCAAGATTGGATCCGCAACGGCCTTTTTGTGATCCTAAGCTTGCGGCATACCTCCCGGGAAGGCAGCTTGTAGAGTTGAAGCTGACATGGTAGAGCTATGGTTTCAGGATTGTTGGGGGCAATTGGCCAATGCCACTGCGCTTGAAAGAGTAGTTCCCGATCCCCGCTGGCTCATCCGTCTACATGCTGGATTCCAACTGCATGCCTGTATGTCGAATCTTGAAAGACACTAATCGAAATCATTTTGCAGACCGAACGGGCTTGTTGTCGCTTACCCTGGGTTGGTGTCCCCGTTCTTGTAGCCATCAAATTGATACCAGCCAAGCTATTGTGGTGCTCGTGGAGGATGTCGCCGTTACATCCTTCTACTGTCCCTGCTCACCTGCTTCAGCTGGCTGTGCTTTGCTGTGTTGACTTAGTCAGATCGATGAGCCCTCTGAAGTCTGCAATTCTCGTTTCGCAGGCCCTTCGTAATGATGGCTCCCATGCAATTTGCATGCTGGCTGCCCCTTGCCGATGCGCTGCGCAAACGCTAAAACATCAGGTCGTTTCAGCAATCAGGTCGTTTTAGCAAGGCCAAGTTGTTTAAAGATGCGTTTGCCGATCATGTGGGCTTTGCCTGGGAAAAATATAATCGGATGTTAGTTGCGAAGACCCAGGATGCTTGTGCACTTCCTCAACCTGATAACCCTTCACGCCCTTCAGTCATGCCTTTAGGGATTCAATAAGGTTAGATGGCATGGGTCGTGCGTCGAGGACCTTCCCTGTGGCTGCTGACCAGGCAGCGGTTGATGAGCTGCGGCATGCCCATTTGCTAAGGTTGGAAATCGCCCTGCGCAAAAAGCTTTGATTGTGATGTTCTGCATCCTGCAGAATTGGCACTTGCAAACTGTCAAAACTGACTGAAATACCACGGGATGCGTCCCATTCTTGCAGGGTTGAGTTGGCTTTTGAGGCAAGCATGGGAACACAGGAGTTAAAAAAAAATGCACAATATACATCTTCTGCTGAGCAGAATCCCCTCGAAGTGCACACTCATGGCTTTCACAGAATCCGAATGCCTCCGTGGAACGGGTATGCAAAGCAGTTACTCCTTGCTTCCTTTTCCTTACGTGACTTATTCAGAGACTGGCATTGGATTTAGGATCGAAGTTGGAATGAATGAAAACTGTGGAAATCTAGCTTTCAACAGACGCCAACAGCAACGCAGAACAGAAATGAGAGGTCAGAAGCAAGGACATGCCGGGTTGGCGACACTGGGCACTTGTGAGACGAAGCAGCAGAGAAATGGTCACAAATGGGCACTTCAAGGTACCGAAAACAATGACGTTTGTCAGGATGGCGACTCGGATGCGCGCAATCACCATGATTGTTGGCACTTTTGATAAGCCCAAGTGGGTGCTGACGGGATCTAGAGATGCACATGGCGAGGACTCACGAACGGCGGACAGAGATTGTGATTACGGAACACGCGATACGTCAATGCGGGGCTAGACATGGTACCGGGTCGCAAGAGACTGGCAGCGGCTAGCCTCATACTGAAGATTGATGACAGAGTTTTACAAAGAACCCAGACTTGCGACCACTGCTGTCTAGCAGCATGCAGCCAGGGCTGCGGTGAGCAACGCCGCGTCCACAACTTGACCTTGATCGCGAGCCACCTTGCGAGTTGGCAAAATGTTGAAGTGCAAACGGTAAGAGCTTCAAAATGCATGAGGCCTGAAACAGCTCCAAAGCCCTTCGCCAGTTGCCACTGCGAACAAGGGCAGTAAGAGCTGCACCTTGGTACGGCCAAGAAGCACAAACTGCACATCACTGCTCATTGTGCTTAATGACCAGTGGCTACAGATCACCTCGTTCGTAGCGATGCCTGTGCCGAGAACGATAGTCATAGGCTTGCGTTTCGTGCAGGAAGCAGCAGAATTCCAAAGTTCAACATGTCAACAGCAAGTCCTCAACAAATCTCAATAGACAAATCTGAGATGCAGACTGCAACAATGTATCTCTCGTAAACAGGCAGACAGTGACAAATACTGAGGAGTCAGGCAATAGATCTGTCATGGCATATTCCAGCAAATGAGCACTATGGTGCTTGTCTGCACCTTGTGTCCTCATCTCTTCCAGAAGTGAGAGCGCAGTGATCCCATCGCCCTTGCCAGCAGCTGCTCGCATCAAACTGCCGTAGCTGTAGGCCTCACTTGCCAGCAAGCATGGCGACCGGCAACCAAATATCAAGACGGAATCTCGCCCGCTGAAGGAATCTACCGCAATATCATTGGAGTTGACTTAGCCATTCACATCCAGGTCCACGCGTCCCTCCCTCATGTCCTCGAAGGGTGTGCTGGAGCCACGACAAGATCTTGCACGTCCGCATGCTACTTAAACCTGTTTTGCTTCTGAAGTCCTGCGCGTAAGCCAATGCGACGGAAAGTTGATCAGCCCTGCCTGAGCTCTTGGCAGGCGCTACAAACGCAAGGCCAACCTGCAGCCTGGCTTACAGCGTGAGATTTGTCAGCTGTTCCCGACCTTCGGCGCCTGCTGTTTAGGAATGTGCCGTGAATCAAAGCACCGAAGATATTCTGACGCCAATGGGTCCCACACCCCAGCACTCAACTCCCAATCCTACCAAAGGTGCAACTTCAGAGGCGCAGCTAGCCTGCTTCCCTTGTCCAACCTGCTAAGGTCTCCGTCCAGTTAAATAGAGAACGTGAGTGCACACGGGTATATAGTAGCAAAATGAACCAAAACCCTAACCTGTAAATCCTGCACAGACCTAATGATATGCATGGAAGTGTCAGAATGTTTGTTTATCAGTCTAACCATGTCTGAAGACTACACTTTTCAATATGGTAAGACGGAAAAGCAAGGGTGGAAATCTTGTTGTGCAACAAAGGATATTAAAGAGTTTGACGGATTTAAGACTTGTGATAGGTGCCGTAAGCGGAAAGAAAAATGCCAATCAGGCAGGAAGAGAAGACACAGGGGAGCCAATTATGCGAAGAATGCGGACACAAAATAAGACAC